AAAAAAAAAAAGTGTAAAAAAAAAAAAAAAAAAATATAAATATCAAAAATAAGGAAATGCTATAAAAAAATGTTGTTATATTAATATATATATATATATATAAAATTATATTATTAAATTGAAACAATAAAAAGAAAAAAAAAAAAAAAGAAAAAAAGTTATATAAAAACGTTTATAACTAAAAAGATATTACAACAATATCCAATAAATTTTTAAATTAAAACAAAAAAAAAAAAAAAAGCAATCTGTGTACAAAAAATTTTGAATAACAAATTAATTTTCTTAATTCTCTAAAAAGATTAGTAAAGTGTTAAGAATACGGGTTTGGATATATTTTATTTAATAACCCTTTGTTATCTGGCCATATTTTCTTTTCATCAGCATGTTGTATAAAATGTTTTCTATAAGTTTTATACTTTTCTTTTTTTATTTTTTTTTTTGTTAATTTATCGATGTAAGAATATCTCCTTCTTAAATATAGTGGGTCAATAAATCTATTTCTTATTAGTAATGTTTTCTTTATATTTTCATTCTCATTAATTAATTTATAAAAAAGATGTTTTGATTGTTCTTTTTCTTCTATTTCTTTCTTATTTTCTATAGGTTCTTCTAAACCCAGATTAACATTACAATTTAAGTAATAAATTTTATCTTCTTTTTCTTTTTCATTTTCTTTTTTTTCTCTACAAATGATTTTTTTGAATTGTATATCATTTTTTGTTTTTGTGAAAATTATCCTTTTATAATTTTCATCATTAATTAACTTATTTTTATCCTTTGTATTTGCTAAATTATGTAATTTATTTTCTTTTAAATTTTCATCTGTTGAAATATTTGAATGATCTAAATTCTGTTTATTTTTAAATTTATTTATATTTTCATTATTAAAATTAAACCAGTTAAATCTTTCATTCGGTATATTTAATTCTGATATATTAAATGACAGATTATGTGAATATTTATCATAAGGAAAAATAGTTAAATATAATGCATAAAAGTCTTTTAAGCTTTGATTTTCTAAAAATAATTCTTTTGATATTTTTGATAAAAAATTATCAATTAAAACTTTATTTTCAATAATTAAATTGATACATTTTTGCAGTTTAATTAAACTATCGTCAATATCTTTTTTTTTAAAACGAACAGTTTGCATTCTTAAATACTCTTTTAAATTAAAATCTAGATGCAAATATTTAGAAGGAAAATAATAATTTTGCATACTTTTTCCAATAAGCGGTTTTAACCAATTTTTTTCACCTGGCAAATTTTCAACATAACCAAAAATTTTTTTTTTACTTGATTCAATTCCTTTCAAATTATAAGTTTTAATATCTGTTATATTTTTTATTTGACTTATTAGTATTTTTGGTTTACTCATTTTAAAAAAAAAAAAAAAAAATAAGAAAAGAAGAAGAATTTAAAAATCACAAAAAAAAAAAAAAATAATAAAAATAACAGTAACAATATTATAATGATACTACTAAAAATAAATACGATAAAAAAAATATATATTTCAATTCATTTTTTACATAAGATGTTTGCAATTAAAAAAAAAAAAAAAATCTTTAAATCAACGTGCTAAACTAAATTCATACGTAAAATATGAAATATTTTAAATAAAAAAAAAATTATGCACATGTATTTTTTAAAAATACAATAAAAAAAAAAAAAATTCCTTGAAATAGAAATAATAAAACAACTTTTATATTGTAGTTTAGTTTTATTAATTTATATTTTATTTTATCCTATTTTTTTTTAATTAATTCATTTTATATATTAATTATAATTCCATGTAATTCATATATCATTATTTTTAACTGCACATTCTTACTTATGTGTTTACCATTTCATTTCTATTTTTGTTTAGTTTTATATTTTTCATTTCATTTGTTTTCTTTTTATTTATTTATTTTTCTGTCATTTTATTATTTCTTTGTTTTTTTTCTTTTTTTAAGATATAAATTCTAATCAAATTATATTTTTTAATTTTTATACTACTATTTCACCTTTTCATTATATTACTTTTCATTTACTTTTTTTAATATTTATATTTTTTGTTACTATATAATTTTACATTTTTTTAATTATCCTTTTTTATATCTATATCTTTTAGTTTTTTCTCATAAATATTCACATTGTCTTTTATTTTATTTTTTATTTTTTTTTCTGCATATAATAAATTATCATATTCTTTGTTGTATGTTTTTATGCATAAATTAATTCCTTTTTTGACTCTTAATACATCTTCCTTTTTTATATTATTTTCATTTATAAATGATGTTAACTGTTCATTTACCTTATCTAAATCTATATCAATATTTTCTATTTCCTTTTTTAAAAGAATATTTTTATTTTTAACATTTTCAAAATATTCGTCTACTTTTATATCTTCAGATAATATTTTTAACTCCTTCTCAATTTCATTTATTTTTTCTTTTGAATTTTGAGAAAATAGTTTCAAATTTTTAATATATATATCACTTTCATTGTAAATTAATTCTAAATTTTTGTGCATAATAAAATCCTTTGAATAAAATTTTAAGTCTTTTTCAAGGTTTTCTCTAAAAAAGAATAATATATGTGTTAATATTTTCAATAATTAGGAGAATTTATGTAATTTTTTTTTTTATTAAAAATACCTTTTTATTTCTAAATTTTTTATATCTTCTATTATTGAACAGTTCTGATCATTATATATATTTAAATCATTTTTTATTTCTTTATCACATATTTCTAGCTCATTTATTTTTTTTTTTAATAATTTTATTTTATTTATATTTTCTTTTATTCTATCGATGTAATATTTTTTATAATTCTGAAGTACATTCATGTGAATTTCATTAATATTTTTAATATGATCATTATATAAATTTTTTAAATATATGATCTCATTTCTTTCCATTATACTATAATTTTCCAGCATATCAACCATTTCTTCTTTTTTATCATTTTCAAATTCATTTAAATATTTTGTAAATAATTCCTCTATTTTTCTTATTTTCTGAAATAATTTAATAAATCTATATATATACTATGACAATTTTATTATTTTATTTTTTTTTTTTATTTTCTCAATTGATCATTTGTCGTTTTAATAAAAACACTAAATTCTCAAGCTACATATGATACTTATTCTAATAAAATTACTATTATATTTCATTATACTGATTTAAATATGACTTTTTTTTTTTTTTTTTTTTTTTTTTTTTTTTTTTTACTCTATTTTTATTTTAGAATCTATATATACTAACATATATTTATAATTTACATAATGTTTTTAATTTATTACTAAATTAGAGGATATATTTAATTCATTTATTTCATCAAAATTTTTGTTTTTTTCGTAATCCAAATCAATTCTTTGTTTTTCTATGTAACTCATTAAATTATTCATTGTTTCTTCATGTCTCTTATCTATTAATGTTTTAAGTTCCTCTTTTTCTTTTTTTAATTTTTTCAACTCTTCTGAGTTTTGAAAATTATAAAATATAGATTTTTTTCTTATTATGCTTTTTTCTTCTTTTACTTTTTCATTACATTTTTCACAATCTTTATTAATAGAATCTACTTTATTTTTTATCTCATTGTATTCTTTTTTAAAATTGTCTAACTCATTATTTTTTTCATCCTTTAAAAAATAATTGAAAATAAATAATTTACAAATGTAAGAATATATGTATATATATTTTTCTTTTTTTTTTTTTGTTATGACTAACTAGTCTTTTTTCTAAAAGACGTTTTTTTTGAATTGTTCTAGTTAATTCCTCTTTTTTATTTTTTATTAAATTTTCTATTTCTCCATTTGATAATTTTTTCAATTTATTAACCTTACTTTTAACTAATTTATTTTTATTTAGTTTATTTTTATTCATTTATTAAAATTTTTACTTTTAAATAAACTACTTCTTTTTTTATTTTTTATATTTAAAATATTTTATTTCTTTTTATTATTATTATATTTTATGTTCAATTTACTCAATAGTATATCATTTAATTAAGCATTGTAACGATTTAAGATTTATTAAATTTTCTTTTTTTATTTATAATATTTATTTTAAATAGTAATATTGATAAATGAATATAAAAATATGTGTAATTTTATTATTAGAGTATTAAAGAATAAAATAAATAATCGCACACATACAGTATGTCTATCAAAAAAAAAAAAAAAAAAAAAAAAAAAAAACGAAAAAAAAAAGTTAATTGTATTTTACCATTTTAAATTAGTTTCAAAATTTTATTATATTAATTTAAAAAATTAACAGCATGTGCATATATTAAAGCAATTTCATTTTAATTTTTTAGTGTATTTTAATTTAATTATTAATTAAATCTTTCTAAATGAAATCTTATGTAAAATACTTTTAACATTTCACAAATTTTTTAAATATAAGCAGAAATAATTGTAGTATATAATGTTTTTTGCCATTTGAAGCATGTTATAGAGTAGATAAAAATAAATTAAAAAACTGGAATTTTTTTTTTTCAATTTATATATATATATATATATATTTAAAAAAAAAATTTTTATATTTCTTATTTTAAAAAAATAAAGCATATTCTAATGTATAGTTTATGTAAATGTAACTTTTTTAAAAAATAAAAGTATATTTAGAATTAAAAGAAAAAGAAAATGAGTCAATTTTATGATAAGCTTGAACGTTATGAACCTGATGAAAAAACGAAAAACTTATGCACAAATTATATTTACTTTCTATTATTTTACAATTCTTATGTTTTAATATTATATATATATACCTTCTTTGCAACCTCTATATCTTTCTATGGGTATTTACAATTTATATAGTTTATTAAATCTATGTTTCTTTTATTTTATATGTATTTAATTACATTTGTTTTTTATAAAATTTTTTTTGCAGATGGTTATTTTTTATGAATCTATATTTTTGTGTATTTCCTGTATTTTCATTTATGAGTAAAAAAAAAAAAAAAAAAAAAATGTAGAATAACTCTTTATAATCATAAATAAAAAAGTTCAAAAAATAAATAAAAAATTTTAAAAAGATAACTTTATTTTATTTTACAAATTGTTTACATTGTTAAAATAACTTTTTCATTTTTATATGATTAGGAAACTCATATATACCTATACTTTTGGTAAAATAGAAAAAGTGATAAATCTTTTTAATACATTACTATTAGTTTATATTTATTTTAATTTTTAGAGATTTTATAATTGGATGCTATTAGTTTCTAGTATTATTTCTATTATCATTCTATTCGAAGGGTAACATTTAAAAGAATTTTTTATATATGAAAAAATTTTAGTATATCAACTACTTGTATAAATATATATATATATATATTTTTTCTTGATAGGATATTTTTATATAAAAAATTAGAATTTTATTTAATAATTATATATTCCTTTTTAACAACATTTAATTCATTATTATGTTGGAATGTTACTCAAGTAAAAATTATAAAAAAAAATTATAAAAAAAAAAAAAAACACATATTAAAAATAAAATATATTTATATGTATAAAATATTTATTATATAGAGAATATTTGAAGGAAAAAAAACAGTCAATGATATCTTAGAAACTTTAAGTAATCCTATATTAAACAATGGAAAATCATTTATAATAAAGTTTTTATATATATAATTTAATCTTATTTATATTATTACATATATGTAGGATCTAAGAGTGTTACAAAAAATGAATATATTAATTCAAGTGTTAAAAAAGAAGAAAAACAGAAAAAATTTATAGGAAAAGGAAGGACTATAAAGGACTCTAATTATGTTAAAGTATAAAAAAAAACTTTTTTTTTTTTTTTCTTTTTTTTCAAGTTGAAATGTGAAAAAAAAAATTTTGCTTTACAATTAATAATTTGTTAAATGAAATAATTTTTTTATGAAATTACTAGTTTGTTTTATTAAATAATATTTTCATGTATTTTTAATGTTTAAATTTAAATAATTTTTTTCTATTTAAATATTAAATAGAAGCATATTTTTTGTAAAATTATTAATCTGTTTAAAACATTTATACATAAAAAGTAAAATTACTAAAAAAGAATACTTATACAAATAAGTATATATATTCTCTATATCTTTATTTCTTTTTCTTTTTCTTTATTTTTTTTTTTTTTTTTTTTTTTTTTTTTTTTTTTTTTTTTTTTTTTTTTTTGTATTTTTCATTTTATCCATTTTTCTTCAATTTTATCTAAATTGTTTTCTTTTATTGAATTTCGTATTTCTAACATTAATTGATTCATATAATTTACATTGTGTATAGTTAATAAGGTTCCTAATAAATTGTCGTTAATTTTATAGAGAAAATGCAAATAAGCTCTTGAATAGTTTAAACATGTATAACAATCACAATCTTTCTCTAAAGGGTTATTATCTAATTTAAACATATTTAGTTTTATTTTTACATACTCATTTTTTATATACCTACCTAAACTTTTTTCTATATCTTTAATATTTTGAACTTTACACAAAAAGTATCCATGTCTTGCCAATCTTGAAGGAATTACACAATCAAATGTGTCTATTCCCCTTTTTACACCATAAAAAATATCTCTAATTTGACCAATTCCTAATAAATGAATTGGTTTCTTTTTTGTTATAAAGTTCATTGTGGTTTCTATTACACTATACATCATTTCTTTGTTTTTACCTAAACATCCACCTATGCATAAACCAAAAAAAGGTAAGCTGCATACAAAATCACAGCTTTTTTTTCTAAGATCTGTGTATATTCCTCCTTGTATTATTCCATATAATGCCTGTTTATTTTTTTCTCTTTCTACCCATTTTTCATTTATTTTATATCTTTTATTATATATATCATTTAAGTATTCATGATAATTTTCCATATTGTTCGCTTTATAAAATTCCAAGAGGCATCTCAAATACCATCTATGTGATCTATGCATTGAACGTTCTGTATATTCTCTATCTACATGATAAGGTGTACATTCATCTAAAACTAAAATAAAATCGCTACCTAACAAATATTGGGATTGAATAGAGGTTTCTGGGGATAGTAAATCTATAGAACCATCATAATATGATCTATAAATTACTCCTCTTTCATTTATTTTTAAAATAATTTCGTTATTCATATGATTTGTTTTACTATTATTACTTTTTTTTTTTTCATCATTTTTTATGTTAATTTCATCTTTTAATGTATTATCTTTTATTGTATTATCTTCTGTTGTATTATCTTTTATTGTATTATCTTTTGTTGTTATATTTTTTACCATGTCAAAGTTTTTGTTACTACTTCTTTTTATCTCATTTGAGACTGACCCAAAGGACATGCTAAAAATTTGATATCCACCTGAATCAGTCAGAATAGGATTTTTCCAATTCATAAATTTATGCAATCCTCCTAACTGAAAAATAACATGAGGTTTTGGTTGAATTAACAAATGAAAAGTATTTGATAAAATAATTTGAGTTTTGGAATTTTTTAAAAAATCAATAGGTGTAGATTTAATGCAAGCTTTCGTTGCACAAAATAAAAAATTTGGTGTTTCTATAATACCTCTTGGTGTTTTTATTATTCCTACTCGACTTTTATTGTTTTCTTTTTTATTTTCTTTCAAAATAGTGAAATCAAAAAAAGGATAATTAAAACAATTATCTTTTAATACGATGCATTTTCTCTTCATTTTTTCATTTATATTATTATAATAATATTTTTTAATTTCATTTAGATTATTTTTTTTTCTATAAGTTAAATATCTTTTTGTAGCATAAATATTTCGTGTAATACCTTTCATAAACATAAACAAAAATTTTTCATTTTTTCTTTTATTTCTTTTAATTTTTCCTTTTGCTATTTTTATTTTATTTATTTTCTTTAATCCATTTTTCACACTTTTTTTATTATTCTTAGTTGATATTAATAAGTTCTTCTTTAATTTTCCTTCATATTTTACAGCTATATTTTTAGTATTTAGGATAAAAAAAATATTAAAAAAAAAAAATATGATAGAAAAGGAGAATTTTAATTTTCTCATATAAAAAATTAATTTTTGCTTTGAATTATAAATAAATACATATTTTCATATATATGTATTCATTAATAATCAGACCATGTTAAAAATAACATAAATTTTATTTTTAAAACAAATTTTTACTTGAATTAATAATGTATACTGGATATTTGGAGATAAAACTTTTTTACTTTCTTACATAAAACTTAAAAATATTTTCTTCTTTTTATATTTTTTTTTATGAAAAAGTAATATTATTCAAAATAAATAATTTCAAATTAATGAAAGTAACAATAATATAATTAAAAGCTACTACAATAAAAATAATAATAGTTAAATTAACAAAATTAATTACTTATTTTTATTTTTCAAAACATTTAATGCTTCTTCTTTAGTACTTAAAAAAAACATATTTCCTCTTTTTAAGTAAACTTCTCTATTATTTTTAAGGTAATTTAATTCGTGTATACTTACATCGTTTATATTCTTGTAGTTTAGTTTTGTAATTAAATCTGATTCTTTTGATAATGATTTGTTATCTATCATTATATACAATACAATTTTTTTTGTAGAAAAATTTAATAAGATAAAAAATTATAAAATGTAACAAAAAAAATTAAATAACATAATAAAAAAAAAAATTAAATAACATAATAAAAAAAAAAAAATTAAATAACATAATAAAAAAAAAAAATTAAACAGTGTACTAAGAAAAAAATCAAAATAATAATATAAAATAGGGCTGATAAAATATAAAAAATATTTTACCTTTTCATATAATTTAGTTTTTTAAATATTAAGATCTTTATAACCGAATATTTTATATAATATAATTTTATACTTAAAATTTTTATGTCTAAATAAAAAATTCATAATTTAAAATTTTTTTTTTTTTTTTTTTTTTTTTTGCAATTATAAATGTAAATTTTAGTATATAAATTTTTTTTTTAAATTATATTTTTATTAACATATTTAGATGCATTATTTAATAACATTAATATAATTTTAATATATATAACGTCATTAATATTTACATTTATCTTTATGTTAATTTTCCTTAATCATATGTAATCTTTACTAATATGAAAACATTTTTATTTTTAAAATGAGTAATACTATGTTTAATATATGATAAAATTATAAATTTTAGTATTTTCTTTATATTTAATTTTTTTTTTTTTTATATAATAAAATATAATTAATAACATATATTTATATATATATATATATATATATAATAACCTAAAAAGAAAAATATATTTGATGTGAAAATTAATCTAATCATCACTAGTGAAAAACACCTATACTATATATTAATAAAATTATTTCAATTTTATTTTTATATATTTTATTTATATACACTTTAATTTTTTTAAAAATATTTTTACGTTTTTTCTAAACATAAAAAAAAAAAAATAATTCATCATTATTTTTAAAATTCTTATATATAGATAAGTAAAGAGTAACATTAATTAGAGTTTATTGGTAATGTCTTTTTTAACATATATTGAGAAAAGCTAAAATATATTTTATTGCAAAAAAAAAAAAAAAAAAAAAAAAAAAAAAAAAAAAAATTTGATCTAAAATGGTTTTTTTTTTTTCTTTAAAAAATTACAAAAAGAAATCCGAATTTTTCAAAAAACATGCAATAAAAAATATACAACTTATTGAAGAAAATTTCCCTTTTTTTAATAAAATTAAGAACCTGTTTTAAAAAAATAGAACAAAACATAAAAAGTAAAATGAATATCTAGATGTAATTTTAGTTTAGATTTCTTTTAATCATTCATAGAATATGTTTGTTTTTTTAGTAACAAAAAAACCTTTTTTTAAAAGAAAAATTGTTACTGTCTTTTTTTTTTTAACTTATTGTTCATTAAGGAGGCAGAAGAAAACAATAATCAAATAAAAGTTGAAATGAAATTATATAACAAATAATTAAAAACACACATATCGAATATATTTTTTTTTTTTTTGAAAAGTGATAAAAAGGAATTTTTTTAGTTAAAAGAAATTTATATTGAAGATAAATAGAGAAAAAACAATATACAAGAAAAATATCAAAAGATTTAATCAAATAAAATAAATGTGCTATAGAAAAAAGAAATAAATAATGATATATAAATATAAATTAAAATCATTATATTTTATTTTTATTGTAATTATAATTACACTTTTAATGAAATGTGATGAACTTTGTCAAGATGCAGATATTATTTTAAATAATTTTTGGGATAAAATAAATAATATTAAGCATGGAAATGTGTTAATAATAAATATAAAAAATTTTTATTGTCCAGCTTGTAATCGTTATTTAAATATATGGAAAAAAGTAGAAAATGAAATTTTAAATTTTGAAAAAAATGCTTCATTATTTGTTTTTGATTGTTCATGTCATTTATTTAGTTCATATTGTAGACATTTTGATGTTGAATATTATCCTACATTTAGATTATTATTCCCTGTATATGATAAAATGGAAGGAAATGAATATATTTATATTGCACCATCTGATTATATTGGAAATAAAACATATAAAGGAAATTTATTATTAGCATATAGAGAAATTCAAAGAATTAAAGGTATTGATGGATTTCAAAAGTTAATGCATAAATATTTGTGTAATAATGTTAATTTCAATCATATTAATTTGAAATCTTGCATATCGGATTTACCTCATATTAATAAAAGAACGTTAGATAATATTATTGTAGAAGGAATTATCAATGAAAGTAACAGTTTATATGAAGATGAAAAAGCAAATAAGTGGAATATAAGTTACAATAAAGAAGATATAAAACATGATATAATAATTGGATTACTATATACATTAAAACAAAATATTTCCATGGGTAATGATATTAATTATTCTTCATTAGAATCATATATAGATATATTGAATATAGTATCATATATATATAAAGATTTAGCAAATTCTATTAATGAAATATCTGAAACATTAAGAACTTATAAGTATCCTATTAGATATGAAGAATGGATAAAATTAATACAAAACATAAATATTAATGAATATCATCTAGATGAAAAAAATAATTTGCATTTTAAGGTTTGTAATGAAAACTCTTTACTTTGTACTTTTTGGTTACTTTTTCATAAAATTTCAATATACTGTTTGCAATATGATAAAGAAAGATATAATTTTTATTTGGAAAAAATAACAAATTATACAAAAAATTATTTAAATTGTAAAAACTGTACTGAACATTTTTTAAATGCACAAAAATCATGTTATTATGGGTTTTGTAATATTCATTCAGCAGAATCTTTTGTTATTTTTTTGTGGAGAATCCATAATGGAGTTACCTTAAGATCTATGTATGAACATATCATTTTAGATTTAGAACTAGGTACTGATAACTCGAATAACAAAAAATTTCTTAATAAAGATATTGTATTTCCTTCAAAATACCAATGTGAAAATTGTAGAAGTGGAGTTGGTTTTACAAAAATTACAGCAGATGTTATAAAAAAATTAGAAAAAGGAACTTATAATGATCAACATTTTGATGCAATTGATGCTTTCAATATTAGGAATATTCTTATATTCTTAATTAATTTTTATTCGTAAATAATCTATAATTTATTTCAGTTAAATTTTTTATACTTTTTATAAATAACTTCAAATTTTTATTATTATTTTTAATTTAAATCAAATATATAGTCATTTTTTTTTTTTTTATCTAAAAATATCTTTTTAATTATGATAAGTGTATGTTAATTTGAATTAATAATTTGCTTTTTTTTTATTTTTATTTTAAATAGTAGTAGCTAAACAAAAGAAAACATTACACAAATATATATTATATACTTTGTATGAATGTTATATAATTTTTTTTTTTTTTTTTTTATCAAAACACATATTCTTTAATTTTTTAGTTTGATTTATATGTATTTTTAATATAATAATTTTAGTATAAAAAAAATGTATCCATGAATCTCAATATTTGTTTTTCTTTAATAACAGTGTTCATTTATCTATATGCATTTATATTTATTTTAAAGTTTAAATTAATAATTTTTTTAAAATTATTTTTAAGAATATGTATATGTATATCTAATTAGCTGTATTATTAATAATATAAACAAGTAAAAAAAAAAAAAAAAAACTTTTATATAAAAGTTAATTATGTATATATTATTTATTTTGTTTAAATTGTATATTAAAAGAACCATCGTTATTTGGATTTTTTTGTACTTCAAAATTATCTAATGATAAACCAACTTTTCCTAATAATAAATTACCAAAATCTTTTAATTTACCAACCATCTCTTCCTTTTCTTTATTTAACTGTTGCTCAGCTAATATTTTTAATTTTTTTTGTTTCATTTCATAATTTTTTAATAAAGATGGTTCAATTGATATAGCCTTATTTAAATCATTATATGCATCATTAAATTTTTCTAATTGCTCATAAGCATTACTTCTTCTTATATATGACTTAACATACTCACTGTTATAATTTATTGATTTATTACAATCTTCAATAACCATATTCCACTTTTTTAATAAAATGTTACATGCAGCTCTATTGGAATATAATATACTTTTTGTGTTTTTTTCTTTACATTTTCTTAAGGCTTTATTATAATAATATATAGCATTTATATAATCAGATTTTTTAAAATAATCATTACCAATTTCTTTTATCTCTTCTACACTTTTATCATTTAAATCAATGCCATGATCTTTTTCTTCAATTGAATAATTACTTTCATTATCATCTGATGAATTTTCATCATAATCTTCTTCATCTCCTGAAGAACTTTTCTCATTTTCACTATCATCAGTTACCCTTGATTCATTCTCAAAGGAACTTAATTCTTCCGAATTATCTTCATTTGAAGAACTCTCATATGAACTTGAATTTTTTTCTGTGTCATTATTTATATAATTATCACTATAATAATTTCTTTTACTGTTATTTTTAATTTCATTACAAAATGATTCATTTATATTAAGTTTATTTATTTTATTCTCCTTATTTTCAATATTATCATTTATAATTTTTATATCACAATTTTCTTCATTTTTTTCAAAGGAGTCCTTTTTGCAACTTTCTTTATTATTATTATTAATGTTATTATCATCATCATATTTGATGTTTTTGTCATTTTGATAAACACTATTTTTTAATTTAATATCATCAATATTATTAGTAATTTCTTCTTGTGTAAAATTATTTTTCTCAATTATTTTAGTATTCACTTCTTTATCACATTTTTCTTCTTTTTCATCTACATTAGTATCTTTTATATTGTTTATTTCAACAGTACTCTCCATTTTGTTAACATTAATTTTTTCATTAATTTTATTATTTTCGTATCCACATTCTATCTTATATTTATTTTTTTCAATGCATTGTGTGTTTCTCTCTGAACATTTTTCCTCAATGTATTTTTTATCTTCTTCACAAATATTAGGAATATTATTAATGAAATTTTTATAATTATTACTAGAATTTTTATGAATATCTTTACTTAATTCTTTAATCTCATTTTTTAATTCATCACTTGAATTATTTTTCATTTTTTTATTTAAGCTCTTTAAATTGTCATCTGAACCATTAAATATATCATCATTTATATATGTAGTTTTATTTATAATATTTTCATTTTTAGTTAAATTATTGATATCATTTTCATTATTTTCTTCATTTTTATTTGAGAAATTTATATCCATTTTATTATTAAGAGAAATATCAATTTTATCTTTTTTCCTCCTTGTTAAATTTTTATTTTCTTCTTTTAATAAATAACACTTTTTGTCACAAAAAATTTCTTCTTTTTTCATAAAATTGTCATTTTTTACTTCTGATATATTTTTTTTTTTATTATATTTATTCTTTTCTTTTTTTAAATATATCCATATACCTAAAATTATCAAAACAAAAATTAAAATGTAACACAACATTTTTTTCAATATTATATAATACAATTATTAAAAATCACCAAAAATTACAAACAAAAAAAAGAAAAAAAAAAAAAAAAAAAAAATCAAAATTAATATTTTCATAAATATAAAAGGTATATATGCCTTAAAGGAAAGCACAAAAATTATATTTTATACATTCAAAATTTGTGTGCTTATTATATAAAATATTTAAGGCTCGAAAAAAAAATATATATTCTACCTATATGCATTAAGTAAAAAGAATAATACAAATTAAAAAATATAAAATAAATGTTTCAAATATGAAAAATATATTTATTCACCTTAATTGTCTTTAACTGCTATTTTAATTATAAAAAAAAAAAAAAAATAATAGAATATTTCATTAAAAAAAATAAACCGCAAATTAATAAAAAAAAAATTTTATAGAATAATTGTTATAAAACTAATTAAAATGCAATAACAAACGTGAAATAAATATAAAAAAAAAAAAAAAAAAAAAATAGAAAAAAGAATAATTAAGTTTTCTTATTAAATAATTTTTTTTTTTTTTTTTTTTTTTTTTTTTGAAACATGAAATTATTTATATTTAAATAAATTAAGAATATATTTTGCAATTCACTTTTTTTTTTTAAAATTTAAAAGTAACATCTTTTTTTGCAATTTTTCATGTTTAAAATATTTTTATAATTTTAAAAAACCAAAATACAATATATTTATTAATAATAATATTAATAATAATTGGAAGGAAATAATAAAAACCTAGCTATCAAATAAAGTATGAATTAAAAAGAATATATCTATTTATTTATAAAAAGTTATGGGATATATATATTTTTTTTTTTTTTTGATTTAATAAAACCTTACATGTTGAAAAAATCCTGTGTAATAGTTAAACAAAAGATAAAATAATATCTTCAAAAAATAAATGACAAATATGATAAAAAATAATAAAGATAAAATAAAGTTAAAGGCTAAAGCTGTGGATAAAAGCAAAATGAAAGTAAAAGAGAAAAAGAAGAAAAGAAAAGAGAAAAACCAAGTTAAAAATGAAAAATTTGATGAATTATTTGATAAAAGTAATAACTTTTTAAATTTTGATAATGTATTATTAGATGTAAGATTAAGGAAATCTTTATTATATTTATTTAAATTTAAGCATCCAACAAAAATTCAAAAATTATCAATTCCATATATATTAAAAGGAAATGATGTTATTATAAATTCTAAAACAGGATCGGGTAAAACAATGGCTTATTTAATTCCATCAATTCAAAATTTAATTAAATTAAATCTAAATGAAAAAGAGCATTTAAAGTTTTTTTATAAATGTATTATTATATCTCCAACAGAAGAATTATGCTTACAAATTTATGAAGTAGCGCAAAAGTTGTGTGTTTATCTTAAAGATATAATATCAATAAATCATAATATAAATAGAAAATTTTATGAACATCCCACTATATTAGTAAGTACACCAAAAAATTTATGCAATTATATCATAGAAAAAAAAAAAAAAAATAACCTAGATATACTAATGAATTTAAAAGTTCTAATTATTGATGAAGCTGACGTTTTACACACCGAAGAATTTCAAAAATATATGAATAAACTGACAAATTATTTACCAAAAAGTTTCTCAAAAAAATATCAAATTATTATGGCATCAGCAACATTAAAAAAAAGCATTATTGAAAAAACCAATCTATTTTTACATAAACCAATATATTTGAATATAGAAGAAGAAATTGATAATATAATTGAGAAGAAAGAAAAAAAGCAAAAATTTAAAGGAAAATCCTTTTATTATATATATGAAGATGAATTAACAAAATATATATATTTATTTAATTTAATAAAAGATAAAATGATTCAATATAAATCTATTATATTCACTAATACTATACGTGATGCTTATAAAATAAAAATCTTTTTAACTTACTTCAATATTTCTTCATCAATACTTAATCCAAATCATCCAATTTTAATAAGACAAAATATTATCGTAGCCTTTAACAATTCTAAATTTTACTTTTTAATATGTCCTCAATATGAAAAAAATACATTTGAAAATATAAAAAATAAAAATAATTTAGTTGAACAAATTAAATTAAACGAACAAATTTTTACAGAAGATAATGATAACACAGATGAAACCTATTCAATTGATGAAAATAACGAAGATAATGAAAATTATTCAAAAGATGAAAATATTATGGATAATGAATATAATTCAGATGGAGGAATTATTGAATATAAAGTGGATTGTGATACTGAAAACAACTCAAATGATGAGATTTATTCAGATGATGAAAATGAAATTAATAGTAAAAATAATTCACATAATGAAGAAAAAGATTTTCTCTATAGTAGAGGATTAGATTTTTACGATGTAAAATGTGTTGTTAATTTCGATATGCCATTAGATGAAGAAACATTTTTACATAGAATAGGAAGAACATGTAGATTGAATAACAAAGGAATAAGTATTTCATTTATAAATAAAGACAGTGTATTAGAAAAAGATATTTTAAATAGAATAGCTGATAAAAATATTTGTTTTATGATTAAAAAAGATATGGAATTCAGTAATGTAGAAAAATTTAGGTATAGAGTAGAATCTACCTTAAATAAATGTACAAATAAAAAAATAAAGTTATATATACAAAAAGAAATATTATACCAATCACTAAAATCAAAACAGTTAAAAGAATTTTTTAATTCACACATAAATGAAAAAAAAAAAATTAGTAAAATAGTAAGGCAGTTTAATAAAACAATTATACCTCAAAAATTAATTAAAGATAGAAATGAAAGCATATTTTTAAATAAAAGTAAGACAAACAATAAATTGATAAAGAAAGGTGATAAAGAACAAAATAAGTTGTATTCTCTAAAAAAAAATAGTGGTTTTATAATTACAGAGAAAGGTTATGAAGAACAATTAAGTAAAGAACCAAAGACGGAAGTAGCTGACCCATCTAAATTACCACCTCTATGTGGAAGAAAATTAAAAAAATATATATATGTAAAATATATTAAAAAAAATAAAAAAAAAAATATATATAAAAATAAAAAGATTAAAAAAAATAAGTTTCGAAAAAAATAAAAAATCTACTTATTTATTAATATAAATTAATAAAATTATAGAACTTCAAAAATTGTCCATTATAAAAAAATACTACTGTAATATAATATATATGAAAATAATTTGTTTTTTGTACACTTTATTTTTTAAATAAAAAAATTTGTTATTTTTTTTTTCTTATAATTTTTGTATTTGTTATAGATTTTATGAATTTATTTTTTTTTTTTATATTTTTTTTAATGCTATTTTAAGAGTCTTTAACTTTTAAAAAAAAAAAAAAAAAAAGCCAAAAAATTAAATTATTAAAAATTTTGAAGACATCATATGGAAACATAAAAATAATATAATGATAAATTATAAAATGTATACATAATTTTTAAATAATATATTTTAAAAAATTAATGCTAAATCTGAAGCAAAAAATTTTATAAAATAAAATATATATATATACAATTATTTAATGTTCATAAAAATGATTATAAATGGTATTGTACTATAAAATATGTCAAATTAAAATTTGAGATAATTAAAGAATATTTTTTAGTTGAAGAACATTTTTATATTTTTTTACAATGCATTATTAAATAATTAAGTATGCTTAACATTATTTATTTTATTTTTTTTTTTTTTATTTCAAATTTTATATTAACATTTTGTTCTAAAGGTTTTCGCAGCTATACACCAATCTGCAAGTAATTTATCTAATTGTATTGCAGTTGCTAAACCACTAGCCATTGTATTACAAGCCATTGCACCTATCTTTAAAAATTCAACCTGAACAGATTCAGAACCTAAATCATATCTTCTTAAAACATTTGATGAAGTTAATGCAACATCAAAAGGCGTGTGTCCTTCTGAAATCATTTCATAAGCGACTTCATGAGCTTTTTTCCATTCACTATTAATACAGTGTTTTAATAATTTCTCAATTCTTTCAGGAGATGGAATATCACAAATATTTAAAACATTTTCTTTATTTATAATTTCCAATCCAGCGTGGGTAGATTGTAAGCAATTGACAGCTTTTCGTAAATCTCCATCTGCTATAAATAGTAGTGCTTCTAATCCATCATCAGTGTATTTTATATTTTCGAGATCACATATTTTTAATATTCTTTTTAAAACTTGGTCATCGCTTAGCTTGAAATATCTTATAATTGCACACCTACTTTGAAGTGCATCAATTATCTTTTCTGATTGATTGCAAGCTAATGCAAATCGTGTTGTATCAGAATACAATTCCATGATCCTTCTTAACGATTGCTGCGCTGCAGTAGTCATAGAGTCAACTTCATCTAAAATAATAATTTTATGTCTTCCTGGTGGTAAACTTATAATTTCTTTAGCGAAACTTTTTATTCTGTCTCTTATTACATTAATTCCTCTATCATCAGAAGCATTTAATTCAAGAACAGCTTTTTTCGCTAGATCTCCCAACATTTCACTAGCTAAACACAAAATACTGGTTGTCTTTCCAGTTCCTGGTGCTCCCTTAAAAAAATTAAAAAAAATTTAATTAAAAAAATATATATATTCACATATAAAAACAAAAATAATTTTTTTTCATGAAAGAAGAATTCTTACATGAAATAAAAAAGAAAAGTAAATAAGAAAAAAAGAAAGTGAATAATATTACATATAATATATATTAAAATAATATAATACACATTAAAAGATAATCAAAAAAAAAAAAAAAAAAAAAAAAAAAATATAAATAAAAATGGTTCATAAAAAATATCTTCATAAAGCGAAATGTAAAATATAATTAAATATTTTCCATATAGAGAAAAACAATTACAGCTAAAAGTAAATTAGGCATATTTCCTGAGCTAATAATACTTTTTAATGTATTTATGACAAAAGGATTTCCCACTACCTCATCTAAATATTCTGGTCGATACTTTTCTATCCATATATCAATATTTCTTTTTAGTAATCTATTTTTAAATGATTCTTCTTCCATTTCTATTTTATTTTTTTATACTTGAATTTTTTATTTTTTTTTTTTAATTTTAAAATACATAAAGAAATGTTAAATTATAAATATGTATCTACAAAAATATATATTTTTAAAGTATCAGCTAAAATTTTAATGATTATATTAAAAAAAAAAAAAACATCTAAAAATATTTTAAAATGTAAAAATAAATTATTTTTAAAATTAATTAATAATAATTTTATTTTATATAAAAAAAATAAATATTAGAACTCTAATTAAATTCTGGTTTATTCTTTTCTTTATTTAAATATATGAACATAAGCATATATATATTTATATTTACATTTATGGACTTTTTAATGTCTACAATATTTAATTTTCCCTACTGATTTTAATCTTCATGTTATACAATATTTATAATTCACATATTCTTACACTTTATTTATCAGATGGATAATATATATTTTAATTCCAATTTATTTATTTTATAATTTCAATATATTATAAAATATAAATTATTTTAATCAACAAATATATATATAATTTTTTTTTTTTTTTTTTTTTTTTTTCTAATTAACAAAATAGCTTAAAAAAAATTTGTTTCACTTAATTTTAATAGAAAATGCAAAATATCATTTTATATGAATTTTACATGTATTTATTTATATGCTTATAATTTGTTATATAAAAAAAAGAATAAATAGAGTTACTACATATGGTTAATAGGAAGTTTTTTTATTATTTTTTAGTATAATAGATAAGAATATATTTTTATTATAAATATATTCTTTGAAATACTTTTAATCTATTTTTTTAAAAAATTCTTTTGTATATATAAAATATATATATATATATATATTTATTTATTTACTTTTTTTTATCTTATTAGATGTAGTTATTTTTTACACATCCTTACTTTAAAAATTTGAAAATGTTCATATATTAGATTCAAGTAAAATTAAATGTCTCATATAAAAAAAAATATATACATAAAAATACATTTCTCTTTAGAGTTCCTCAGATAAAAAATATATAGTTTTATATTATCGCAAACTTATTTTTTTCTCTAAAGCTCAATTATATTTAGAGATGAAATAATGAAAAAGAATAATCCAAAAAAATAAATTGAAATTAATAGAATTAATTAACAGATAAATTAGCATTTCAAAAATAATATAAACTATTAATTGAATAAATTAATATTAGAATAAACATATCTATTAATAATTTAAACCACTATTCAACCTAGATAACATAATAATATATTTGTAATAAATTTAAATAGAACTCTCTTTCAAGTTTTGTTTTATTTAAATAAAACATAGTGAAATACACTTTTTAATAAGGAATATTTTGGGAATTAATGTATTCAAAAACTGTATATTATATTTAATGTATTAACTAAAATTTAAAATAAAATATGAAAAATTATATATAATACATTATTTCGTATTTTTATTTTACGTTTATAACCTCCTTTTAATATAAAGAGATAATAAATACAATGATAAATATATTAAAGTTATAAAAAAGTAAGTAGTTAGTTATAAATTATTAAAAAATTACAAAATTTTAAATTTATTATTAAATAATTAAAAAAAAAAAAAATGATATTAAAAAAAGAAATTTTTTAAAAATTCTAAAAATTAAATGAACAAATTAGTTTTAAAAATTTTCACAACTTTTTAAATTCATTTTCTAAATTAAAAAGGCAAGACATTTTATTAAAATAATAGTAGAAATATTTTAAAAAAGATATTCAATATGTAAATATCAATCAAGAGTCATTTTTTAAAAGTAAAGAAAAAAACTTTAAAGATCCAAAAAATATGAGGCCACCAAAAAATAAATAACATGTTCTATAATAACATCCCTTATAAAATGACAAGTACCCTTCATTCGATATTTCTAGAATAATTTCATTAAAATGTTTTCCCTATTATTTTATTAATTATAAAAAATGAAAAATATTTTTGAAATTAATTTGGAGATTATATAAATTAAAAAAAATAAAATATATATTAAATACACATTTAATTTCCAATTTTTTTTTTTTTTTTTACATATATCATCTGCCTAGATTTTATAACATCCATTGGTGTAGTTAAAAATCCAGATATCCCACCTGAATAAAAAAGTAAAAATATAAATATTTGTAAGAAATTATTTAATAAACATAATATGTTTATAATTTAATATTTCCTTTTTTTCTTTTTTTCAAAACCTGCCAGCCCACCACATATGGAAGATGTAATAGTTGGATGTTTATCAGAATATTTACCAAAATCTTTTTAAAAAAAAAAAAAAAAAATGATATAATGAATTTTTAAATTTTTTATCATTTTTATTTAATTTTAATTACTTTTTTTCGCTACTTCTTTAAATGTTTCCCATAAAAAAAATTGAATAAAATCAAAGGGAATTTCTCTTACTATCATAATTAAATAACTTTTAAGTAAATATTTATATAAGCCTTCTTTTTTTGAAATATCATATATTGTATTAATCAAAGAGCTATTATCAGATATTTGCATTCTTTGTTTTACTATCTCAAATGGTAACCTATTAAATAACAAATTTTTTTTTTTAATTTTTTCTATTAATTAATTTTTTTTTTTTTTTTCTTTTCTTTTGCATACCTTACTGAACATGAAGCAATTTCTGCTACACTTGTAGAAATTAGGTATAAGTGACTTTTGCTAATATTTGGATTGTATTCTACATATAAAAGAATATGTAATTATCTTATAAAAATTGTTTCAATATATCATCCTATTTTTCATTTTTATTTATTATTATAAATATAAGGCTATATTAAATTATAAAGTAGTTTCTCTTTTTAATGAATTTAACCTCTAATTATAATTTATAACATTTTATTATTATAAAAATATATTTATTGGTATTTAATAAAAATGTGTAAATAATTTTTAATAACATAAATATTGATATTTATATATATTTATATATATATATATATATATATATATATATATATATATATATATATATATTTTTTTAAGAATGTCTTTTTCAAAGATATAATTTTTTCTTATCTTAATTTAATTTATAGCTATTTTAAATATATATAGCATTGTTATAAGTAAATATTATTATGTAATAACAAAAATATAAAAAAAGGTACCTGTTAATAATTTTTTTGACATTTCATAAAAACAATAAAAAAAAGCGCTTGCAGGAACAGTACCTAATAGGGTTGGTAAAATTCCATTATACAATTTATAAGTTTCAAATATAGAAAAACATTTTTGTGCTTGTGCTCTTGTTTTTAAATTATCAATTGGAAACAATACACTATCAACTACAACACCTGATAAGGCACCTATTATTAAATTTTCTATTAAAAAAGAGAAATTAAAAAAAAAAAAAAAAAAAAAATTAAAATTCATATAAATTGCTAATTAAAGGAAATTCATTAATTTTAATTTGAATAACTTATTTTATAAATTTTATATAAAATTTATGCTTATCTATATAATTCTTATCTTTTATTGAAAATTTATTATTTTTTTTTTTTTTTACTTAAGTGCTCCATATATATAAATATATATATATATATATATGTATGTAAAAAATAGACAAAATTTCAATTAAGAGGAATTAAGTTTATTTTTTATTTTATTTTATTTTTATATGTTCCAAAATATATTTTTATCAAATAAAAAACGTATAATATCTAAAATGTATACTAAAATTTAAGAAAAACAATAAAAATATTCTTAATTTTAATATTTGTTTTCATCATATTAAAGTATGTTTCTAAGCAATTTTTTTCTTAATAATGATATATTAAAACATATTAAAAAAAAAATGTTGTATTACTTCTTTATTTTTCATAAAAATAACCTTTAAAACTTACTTGTTATGTTATTTATTATGTTCCTTTTATATTATTGAATGATGTGGAATAACTTATTGGTCTTCCTTATTCTATCATAATACGTATTTCAATATATATAAATGAAAATGTGAATTAATCTAATGCGATTCTTTTTATTTTATGCCATGCTTTTTTAAATGTTTTTTATTTCTTATCCAAAAAACTGTGAAAATAGAATAAAAAATTTAAATAAAATGCAATAATTTTTTATTTAAGAAATTATAAATTTTCCTCTCATTTATTGAAAAGTAGTAAAAGGTAATAAAATTAAATACATGCAATGAATAATAAGAGTAAAATTTTAGTAAAAGAAATAGTATAAACACATGAAATGTTAATTAAAAAGGTATTCCTTTTTTTAAAAAAGAATAAAAAAAAAAAAATAAAAATGTAATAATAAAAAAATATATTATAAATATTCAAGATATACTAAATAATTAAAAAAAAAAAAAAAAAAAAAAAAAAAAAAACATTTTTTTTTTTCAAAATGTAAGATATTTCGGACAAAAAAAAAAATTTAATGAAATAATTCATTATTTAACATAAATATATTTTTATTTATTAAGAACTTTAATTTATATGAAACATTAAATATGTAAAAAAAAATGGATAAGAAATTAAAAAAGGGAATTTTGTTAATTCGAAAATATGCTGAAAAATATAAAAATGTCATTTTTAAAACTTTAAAATTAAAATCAAGGAAAACAATTAATAAAAAAAAGAAAAAAAAAGAAAAAAAAATATTAAAAATCATTGAAAAAAATAATAACAACACAGAGTATAAAGAAGAAAAGAAAAGAAAACTAGATAATTATTTAATTAATCAAGAAAAGGAATTAGATTTTCAAGAAAATTACTCCTTTTTTAATAAATTTCATGACAGAACAGATAATATTTTTTATAAGAACGAAAATGATAATGTTCCAGACTCTTTAAAATTAAAGAAAACAAAACATAACAACGAAGAGCAAACTTTTAATTCAATTAATGACAACTTCCTTGATTCACTGAATTCCCTTCATTTCAAAATTAAACAAGAAATTGAAGCGAACAATGACTTATTATCACTCAAAGAGTTTAGTGAAAGGAATAATATTACTAAAGTAGAATCAAATACGCAAAATGATATTAACAAACAAAAAATATCTCAAACTGATGAAGATTTAAAAGCAAGTTTCAAAAAAGAAGAGAATTTTACTGAAAAACAATTGGTTTATCCAAGTAAAAAAAAAATTAAAAAAAAAAAAAACGATTCTAAATATATGCTAAGTAGTAAATGTGAAAAGAAAATTAACCATAGTTCCGACATTGAACTAAATGAAAATTATCAATCTATATATTTAGGTAAAGAAAAGTTAAATCTACTTGAAAATAAAGATGAAGAAAAAAAAAATGAAAAAATAGTTAGTAGCTTTAATATGAACCCAAAAAAAATTATTGATGATACTATACAAAAAAATAATGAAATATTAACAGAAAAAAAAAAAAATGATTTAGTGTTTGGAAAAAACAAATTTGAAAATATAAATGAACTTTTTCAGAAAGTATTTGAAGGAAATGAATACAATCAAAATAATTCAAATGAAATAGTTAAATATAATAATCAGGAAAAAGATGAAGATAATATAAATGTAAACGAATACGGAGAAAAAAATATGACCATATACCATAATATTTTAAATAAAAAGGAAGGAACATATGTAAATGAATATTTTAAAGGAGATATAAATTGTCAAGATACTAAAATAATTTCAGAAGAAAATGTTAATTGTAATGATAACAAAAATAATTTAAATCATGTAGAAAAAGATGAGTATAGGGATAATATAGGGGATATTAATACTCCTTGCAACCAAAATAACTTAGAGGAAATTAAAAAATATAATAATGTATTAACACCATTTAAAGAAGATAATTCTTTCGATTTTTTTTTTAACGAATCGTTGGGAACACCATCTATATTTCAAATGTAAGTGTTATAATATCATTAGAACATCTTTCTATATTTACCCTTTTCTTTTATTCTCTTTTTTTTTTTAATTACAAATATATATATTCATAAGGTTTTAATGTGAACATATTTTTAACAAATTTAATTATTAACATTTTTATCATAATTTTTAAGTAAAAAACTAAAATATAGAATGTGTAAAAAATATTTTGATATATTTAATAATTTATTTTGGAAATAAATAAAAACTAAATTTTAATATCTTTAGGATATTACTAAAAAATTCTATTAATTAAAAATAATTTTAATGTTTTCATTTAACATATAATAAATAAGCCACTAAATAGGAAAAGTATTAATTATTATAATATATGTGTTCAAAAAAGAAATTATCTATATAGAATATATAAAGATCGTTACTACTTTAGATAAATTATTTTATTTCTAAATTAACATTATATATATATATATATTATTTTAAATTTACTTTTTTTTTTTTTAATTATTACGTATAAATTCTTTATGGATTATTCAAATAACGATTTTGCAACTAAAAATTCAAAAGAACTTCATATTTATTTATATTATATAAAAAAATGGATATATTTTTGAATTCATTATATTTATGTTTTTCTGCTTCTTCCTAATTTTAATTTGCAGATATATTTTATATTATAAAAATAATTAATATAATATATATATTTTTTATTTTATTTTTTTTTTTAAAAAAAAAAAAAATATAAACATGTTTTTTTCAAAATATATTATTAAAAATTATGAAAAATTCAAAAATATTCATAGCAATAATTGAATTAATAATATAACTAAAAATAAACTGTAATGGATATAACATGTTTTAAATACATTAACAATATTAAATAGAATGATAATTATGAAAAATACAAATGGTAATATTAACATATATCATAAATTGTAATAAGAATGATTGAAGCATAAAGACGTAAATTTTACTTAAAAGTAATTACAGAGTTAATAATATAAACATTTTTAATGAATGTTACAAGAATAAGTGTAAATTTACTATAGTAAATGATATTTCTTTCAATTATACAATTGCTTAATAATATTTTAAATAAGATAACAACATTTCATGAACAAAATTTCTAAAAGTATGTGCATTTATAATGATTTTTAAAATTGTCTAAATTTCTCATTTTTGTTATATATTACTTTCTATTTTATAACACATTGTGTAATTTTAATTATATTTATAACAAATTAGTAAATTGAAGAAGACATATATATTTATTAAAATATATAAATAAATAGGATAATATGTTCGCACTTTTTTTTATAGATGCATATCTACATAACAAGTATTATCTAAAAAAAAATAAATTTCTTATGAATATGAATAATTAACATTTAACACCTTTTTTCTTTTTTTTTCCTTTAATTTTATTAATTTACAAGCCCGTTTTTATTAATGTTTATTCTTAAAAATTCAATTTTAATAATAGTTTATTTTTTCTTAATTTATCCTCTTTCATCTTAATTGAATAGTAATTATATATTTAAATTTGATTTTTTTTTTTTTTTTTTTTTTTTTTAACTCAAATTATACTTTTTAATAAATATTTTAATGTGTTATTTTCATAATATATATATATGCATAAATGTTTTTATGTAAATGAGAACTAGATCTTAACCCAAGAAAAATTATAATTTTCATAGCCCAAAATTGCGGGTTGTACACAAAAAAATGATATTTTTTAATAAAAAAAAAAAAAATAAAATTGAATAAATAAATAAATAGATAAAATAAAATTAAATTAAGCTAAAACATTAAAAATGAATAATATTCTACCAAATTATGCACAGAAATATACACACAAAAAATGAAAATAAAAATTTTTCCTGTACAGCTAGATATTTTTGTGAAATTATTTGTGAGCATGTTCATAATTTTTTTTTTTATTTTTACATTTTTATTTAAAATAAGCAAATATGATAGCTAATGTTTATCATATCATTTTTGCTATGAGTATGTACTTTTTTTTCCCCCCTTCCCAATAAAATTTTATATACAGCTGTACTTTTGATCATTAAAAAACAAAAATTGAATGGTATAGCTCTAAAAATAATATACGTTCTTCTTAATAAATTTTTTTTTCTACATAATTTGAATTATCATTGAGCGATGTTATTTTATAAAAAAATTTAAAATATCAATGTTATAGTTTTATTTTCATTTTATATAATTTTTTTTATATTTTGTTTTATTTTTTTTTATTTTTTTTTTATTTTTTATCATATTTAAAATATCTCCACAATATGAAACTTTTTTTATAAATTCAAAATTTTAATTTTATGCTTTTTTTTTCTTGAACAAAATACGCGTGTTATTTTTATTGTCGTTTGTATTTCTTATATTTTTTTATATATTATCATAAAATTTTACGTTATTGTATCTTTATATGATTAACAAATTATTTTGCAATTTTTTTATTTTAACAATTACATTTAAGGTTTGACCTTTTAAGTAGAGGTATTTTTTATTCATAGATTTTAAACACTGGATTGTTTAAAATTATGTGTTTATATTTTTAAATCTATATTCTTTAAATGAAAGAAATAATTTTATGTTTCATAACTTTTTGTCAAATAACATTATTGTAATGTTTCAGAATAACACATGTATAACATAAAATTATATATATTTAATTATAAAATTCATTAACAGTATTTAATGAAACTTGTTAAAGCTTTGCATTTTATAAATGAGTATCTACAAATTAGAAGAAATATTTTATATAACTAATACAAAGCATAATTCTATAATATTAAATGTTAATATAGAAACCAGGAAGTACATATACATATTTTTATTTTATTCATATTTCTATTTATTAATATATTTATTTATCTCTTAATTTTTTTTAATGTAACATAATTGATAAAAGATAATTTTTCTTTTTTATAAAAACCTGTATATTTTTCACACTATACTTGAGAAGTCCTTTTATAACTTGTAAATACGCTATTATATATACGTATATACATACATACATATTTAAGTATATATGTATATACTTAAAATTTTAATATATTTTGGCTCTATGTAAAACGTAACATGCACAAAAATATAAAAAATTTTTGCATGAAGATTTATGAATGTTATTTATATTTGTAAATATTGTAAGATAATTTTTTATTTTTTATTTAAACTTCAATTAAAAATATATATGTAAGTTTTGTACTATAAAAATGTAAATAAAAGAATATATACATAGAAGAATATAAAAAATGAAAAAAATTTACACAAAACAAAATATAATGATGTAAGAAATTAAGTCAATTAAATTTTATATATATTATGCTTAAATTTATTTTTATATAAGGTTGTACTTATGTAGAAACAATTTTTATAATTATTCTGCTTCTTTATTCATATAATATAGTAACAAGAATCACATATATGCATAAACTTTTTTTTTATTTTTTCGTGTAGTATAAATTCTTTTTATTATTTTATTTTATTTTATTTTTTATTTTTTTTTTTTTTTTTTACAACTATAATAGTTATCTTTAAACCCATAGTATTTTTTGAATAATAAAATAATTATTCATTCTTTTATAATTTTTTGTATTTGCATATGCATAAATTATATATAGGTGAATGATGAAATATTTTTTCTATACATATAAGCTTAGAAGAATATATTTTGTTTATTTATCAAATTATTGATGTTTTTTTTTTTTTTTTTTTTTTTTTTTTTAATTTCATCTTTATTATTTATTAAAAAAATAAACTTGAAGTTTCTAATTTTC